GTGAAACCATATGATATCTGTCTTTCTCAACCTTGGCTTATTTCATAGCATTACTCAGTTCCATCGCGATTGCCCTGGCGGCCATATTTTCATTTTTCTCATTTGCCACGGCGATTATTCCATAGTGTATATGAAACCACAATTTCAACTTTATCCATTCATCAGTTGATGGACCCCATTCTTTTCCATATTTGACTGTTGAGGAGTGAATTAACTGCTATGAACATTGGGGTACAAGTGCCCCTATGTATCGACCTCTGTCCCATAGATAAATTCCTAGCAGTGCTATTGGGTCATAAATTTAGATCTATTTTTAATTTTCTGAGGAACCTCCACACTGCTTTCCAGAGCGGCTGCACCAATTTGCATTCCCACCAACAGTGCAAGAGGGTTCCCGTTTCTCCACATCCTCTTTAGAGAGCTTTTAAAAAGTTCCCTCTTGGAGTTTCTTCCTCCTCATGGTTTACATCTATCTTTTCCTTTATTTCTTTATCTCAATTATGATTGTTTAATGTCTTTGTCTGTTAATTTTACCAGCCAGGTCAGCTGTGGGTCGGTCTCCATTGGCTGTTATCTTTTATCTAGACGTCACATGTTCCTGTTTCTGTGGCTGCATCTTGTGCCAAACATGGTGTATAAATGAACTGTGAAGACTGAAGTAGAAGATATTTATCCCCCACTAAAAAGCTGTCTCTGTCAGGCAGCTGTAGTGAGGGGATGATGTCTCTGGTTAGAATTAAGCTAAGTTGGGGTTAAGTTGTAGCTTTGGTTAGTGTTAATTCATCCTTGGTTTTCAAAAGTTTTGAGGTGTAAAAAAATCCCTCCTTCTAGTCGGGTTTGGTATCCAAGCACCGTGTAACTGTAGGCTTCTGCCCTGCTCCCTCGCCCTGCCTGAAGATGTCTGGGCCACTGGAGATCTCCCTTTGGCTCTCACCCTGGGCCCAATTACTCACATGCGGCCGAGCACTGGATACAAGTGCTAAGGTTGAGAATTGGTAGATGATGAGGACTCGTTCTGTGTCTGGGGCTCCTATGTGTTCGGTATTCCACATTAGGCCAAGATGGCTAAGCATTCAGCTAGATTCTCTATTTACTTGCGAAGCCTCCTACCCAGTGACAAGTCTGCTTCTTCATCTATTTCCTAAGATTAAAAGCCACCTCTAGTCCAAGGTCATATATGAAGGGCTTACCCCTCTCTGAGATTTAGTTTTCCCTAAATTTCTTTGTGCCCTAGTTCCCCAGTGGGTTCAATAATATGCACAATTTTGTAATTTAGCCAGTGTCTTTTCTGTGTTATAGTGAGAATTATGGTCATTTCTGACCACCTTCCTCATAAAGCAGAAGCAGCACTTTGAAGGTCTTCTGTTGGCGAAATTACTTTGTTAATTTTTTTTCTGATCGTAAAAATAACAATCCTTTTCAAAATTGCAGAAAGTCCAGAAAATTGAAGAATACTTTATCGATATGCATTTTCATCATTTTGTAAGGCTTACCCTAATCCTCTCTGAGTTGCTTCAATCTCCAGGTATCTGGTGTCCAAGAATTTTACTTTCTCTTCCAATTTTCCATGTAGGCTTCAGCCTTCCAAATTCTTGTTTTCTTCTTGGATTTTGCTTGTTCTCTACTCTCCTTTCACATGTACCTTCTACCACATGGAAGGTGAAATGCATCACCTTTATGCTATACAGTGAACTCTAGGTCTGTAGTGTGTTTTCCTTCCAAAAGTAGGCCCTTCTTGGTACTCAGAAAATAAAGGTATTATTCCAAGGACATTATGACCCCCAACCACCGGGACTGATGAGATGGCATTGGTGGATGGCAGAGACCCATGCATTTATTTCCCTCATTTTATAGTACTCACTTACGAAGCTATTGTAAAATACTCATGGAACTATCACACCATAAGATAGCTGTGGAAATATCCAGGTTGGTGGAGAGGATTCTCTGAGAGATACAATGAAACTCAGTGATCCTTTCTTGCTGAAGAGGAAAAGAATGAGTCCCAAGCTACACATTACAGAGCAACAGATCTCTCCTGTGATACAGGGCGAGGGAAAGAGACTACAAGAATAAATAAGATAAGACAACTGTTGTCAGATAAATTCCTTTATTTGATAACTTATAGCTCTTTTCCTCCTTTTCAATCAATATCAGTGACTAGATTTTTGTTCATATATTTATTTTTTTTAGGGCTGTCAAGGTAGCTTCATGTGACTCTTCTATCTTGTAAAATAGGCTGCTGTGGAATTTCCTTTCGTGCATGAGGACTGGCTTCTCATGGACACATGCTGCCTGGCGTTATTAGGTTTTGTTTAGCGGCCTTGAACTGTCGTTCCTCACGCAGAATGATACTGGTGTTTTACAAGGTTACAGATGAATTTTAACCTCGATAGGTTCTTTTCTTCTTTATTAAATACACTGTAATCTGATTCGTCTTAGAGATAATTGAAATAAAGGCTTAAAATAATAATAATACTAGCTATGTGCATTTCATGTTTTTATGACCTTTTTTTTTTGTATTTATTGTCCAACCCAATGGTTGTATCAATTTACTGAGGAAGATGCTTATACCCTTGTCTTTTATTGAGGAGGAAACTTGAGTGAATGGAAACCTTGATTTAAAAAAAAAGTGACTAGCCCAAGACCACAGAAACTTAATGATAGAATTAGGTCAGTACTGGTCAAATTCTTACTTTATCTATTTTGGATGTATAGCTGAGTAAGATCAGGTTAGTAGTAGAGAGGCATTTTTAAAGGCACCGATAAGAGTAGAAGAAATTATTATAATGGTATCGGTTCAGCTTTATTTTTAAATGATGATTCAAAACAGGTTTCTGACTTCATTTCTCCTCCTCCTCCTTCTCAGTTAGCTTTGATTCTCTTATCACAAAGGTTACTCACAGCCAACTAGCCAAATGAAAAGTATGGCTTGATTAAGAATCTCTTTTGTCAGTAATTTGTGTCTAATGTTTTTAGCTTTCCCATGGGCTGTTGTAGAAAATGGTAAATCTGGTTTAAATGAAACCTGATCCTGTTAATGGTTTAATAGCAGCTGCCACAGGGTTATGGTATTTTTCAACAGATGCTTCTGTTTCATTTTAAACATAAACTGACTCTTGGAATATTTACATAAATCATATAAAATATGGCTACACACTTTTGGCTAAATATATTGTTATAAAATAGTCTTAGGCAAGTCCCTATCTTTGTCCATTTACAATTATTCACATAGAATTTGAAAAAGAAACCCAAGCCTATGCTCTATTAAAAAAGAAAGATTATTCACTTTCCTGAAATTCTTTTTTAAAAGGCCAAAGGGCAAGCTCCATCTCTACATCTGGGGACCTGAACAATGATTTGGTCAATCGGATCATTTCATCCATCTTTATGCCTAACACTATTTATTTAGCATGGACAAATTGCTTATACAGTGACGTGCAGTACAGTTCAACTGAAATAAACAGGAGAGTCACATAATTAAATGGGACACTATTTTTCCTTGAAGAGGTAGACGTTGTAATAGTAATTTAAGCTATCATTATACCTAGGATTAGTTTCTCTGGAGTGCGATAGCTCAACCATTTTGTATCTATTTTATTTTTTTAAATGTTTATTTATTTATTTGGAGAGGGGAGAGAGAGGGAGGGAGAGAGAGAGAGAGACAGAGAGACAGAGAATCCCAAGCAGGCTCTTCGCTATCAGTGCAGACCCCAACATGGGGCTCGATTCCATGAACCATGAAATCATGACCTGAGCAGAAATCAAGAGTTGGACGCTTAACCAGCTAAGCTGCCCAGGCACCCAAGTTCAACCATTTTTTTTAAAGCATTTCTTCTGTGTAAAGGACTCGTTTGGGGTACGAGAAGACTACAAAGATGAGTGGCAGGCAAGTAAAACGATGATGGTGACAACTGATAGAAATAGTTATACTATAGAAGCAGCAACTCAAGCAAAAGGAACCGGAAGTTCAGTATACTGTGTTAGGTAACTTACGAAGTGCAGAATCTTGAATGGGCGGGATCAAGTTTGTTGCTTGGGTCACATTTTCATGCTGGCATGTTGCTCGATTAATTTGGGCTGGAAAGGTTATGCATGCAAATACATCCAATAGTGAATTTTTCTTCAATTTTTTTTTTTTGATTTGGGTGTAATTGACACACGATGTTTCATCCATTTCACGTGTATAACGTAGTGAACCAAGTTTACACCTGACGCTATGTTCCCCACACACGTAGGTACCATTTGTCCCCACACGCCCCTATTACATTATCACTGACTACATTCCTTATGCTGTGTCTTTTATTCCAATGACTCATGCAGTCCATAACTGGAAGTCTGTATCTCACCCTCTCCTTCACGCATTTTGTTCATCCCCACCAGCCTCCTCCCCTCTGGCAACCATCAGTTTGTTCTCTGTGTTTCCTCATCTGATTCTGCTTTTTGTTTGTTTATTTCTTTGTTTTTTTTTTTCAGAGTCCATGCACATGTGAACTCATATAGTATTTGTCTTTGTCAGTCTGACTTACTCTCTAGTCTAGGTTCATCCATATTGTTGAAAATAGCATGATCCCATCCTTTTTAATGCCTGTGTGATATCCCTACACACACACACACACACACACACACACACACACACCCCAAATCCCCCTTATCCATTTGTCTGTCAATGGGCTCTTAGGTTGCTTCCACATCTTGGCTATAATAAATAATGATGCTGTGCAAAACAGTATGGAGTTTCCTCAGAAAAGTAGAAATACCATGGGATCTCATAATTCCACCACTGGATATTAATCAAAGAAACAAAAACACTAATTTGGAAGGATATGTGCACTCCTACGTTTATTGCAACATTATTGACAATAGTGAATTTTTAAGGGCAACCAATGGAAGTAAAACCCAACTCTGTCCTTAATTCTAAATTATATATAGGTGCCATTGAATATAGCACATTTCTGTGTACAAGCATCCCGATCTCCCCTTGCCTTGGTATCCTTCCCTAGGCACTCCCTCCGAAGAAAGATGTGAAACCTGGCATGGCGTTCTTGTTTGAACTCTGTCTCCTTCGTGGGAAATATGCTTCTTTTGACTGGGTTGTGGGCTGGGCAGCCTTCCCTGTGTGTGATAACAACTTTGATGTAGTGGACGGGAAATTCAAGTGTCCCCTTCTCCGAGGTCATTATGACCAGAAATTCGACAGCTTCAGGAAAATGGAAGATTTGATGTGCCAGGACTTGGACCACTGGCTGTGCAATCTCTACTTTCAGGTTTGTAATATGATTTTTTTCAAATGTTTTATTTATTTTTGAGAAAGCAAAAGTGGGGGAGGGGCAGAGAGAGAGGGACAGAGGATCTGAAGCAGGCTGACAGCAGCGAGCCCCATGTGGGGCTTGAACTCACAAACTGCGAGATCATGACCTGAGCCGAAGTCGGATGGACACTCAACCGACTGAGCCACACAGATGTGCCTGTGATATGATTTTGTAAGTAAAGAACTTAAATTTTTTCTGAAACCGGGGCGCCTGGGTGACTCAGGCATTTAAGCATCCGACTTTAGCTCAGGTCATGATCTTGTTGTCTGTGAGTTTGAGTCCCGCATCCGGCTCTGTGCTGACAGCTCAGAGCCAGGAGCCTGCTTTGGATTCTGTGCCTCCCTCTCTCTCTGCACCTTCCCTGCTTGCACTCCGTCTCTCTCTGTCTCTGTCTCTCTCTCTCAAAAATAAACATTATTTTTTTCTAAAACTGCTTATTTCTAGCGTTTAGCTGACTTTCGTGCTATTGAAAATTTCAATATGTATCATAAATCTGTGAAAGCATTTACATCTTAATGCTTTCTTAATGCTGATTAAATTGATGTCTACAAATAAGGAATAAAATTCCAGAATTAGCAGGAAATTTAAAGATAATTTAACCCAAACTTCTATGTCACGAGCAGGCTGAGAAGGGCACCCAAATCCTTCAATTCTCTGTTTATAATCTGCTGCTGCCGGATCTGATCTGTCTCATCAACTTGGGTATAGGGCGATGGTGTTTCCTTATCCAATGTACTAATTGAGCTACTACTTTGTGTTGGGCATTGCTTGTTCTAGAAATGCAAAAGAAATGAGATAGAGTCTGTGCCTTCCTGATGCTCGCCACTTATTTGATGAGACAAGCATGTGTTCATACATAAGATAATTAATGATCCACATTTCCACGGGATGAAAATGGTCTTCACCAAACTCCCTTTGCCATACATATCACTTCAAAGCATGCTGTCTTAATTACCTCAAGAATTAAAAACGAAACACACTCCCAAAAAACCCTTGGGTGAACACCATTTATTTGTACATATTTGGAAATTTATTTTCTAACCAAGTCTTTTAGCAGAAATGTCATTGCAGAAATTCATTCTAGGAAGACACCGCAGAGGATCAAAAAAAAAAAAAAAATGACAGCATACCTTAAGTGTAAAGCATTCGAACAGAATTTTAGTTTATTTCGGTCCTCTATGTCCAAATTTATTCTTTCTGATTATGATGGTTTTCCACAGTGCCCATATCAGAAAATGCTATGATTTTTTTTTTCTTCCTTACCTGAGTGTTTGACATTTCCTTGTCTGTCTGTCTGTCTGTCTATCTAGCTAACTAGCTAGATTGCTATCAATCTAATCTAATGTATGTATGTATGTACATGTATATATATATATATATATATATATATATGTATTATGTGTGTATGTATGTATCATCTATCTATCACTGTCATCTATCCACCTAAGTGATTGAACTATTAAATACGGACATTTCCAGGAAACACATGTAGTTTTGGCTTAAAAATCAACAGCTATATATCCTTCTTATGTGATGGTCTTCCCGTTTCCTGTGTATTTTATGTTGAATCAACTGGCATGTTTCCCCCTGTTAGCGAATACCATTATAATGTTTTGCTGAAATATCTTTTTGAGATATTATGGGTTGCTGTTAAGAAAACAAATATAAATATAAATATGTACCTTTCTACTCATTTTAAAAATAGTCACCATTCTGGGATAAATCTGACTGTATATTGGAATTATGTAGGAAACTTTAGAAATAGTCCAAATCTTGTTCTCAGAGATTTTGATTCAATTGTTTTGAGGTGGGGTATCAGGATCCGAAGTTTATAAAACCTTCTATGGTTTAGAAATGCTGATATAAATACATTTGAAAAGGGAGACCATTAGAAATGAATTCAAAGGAGTTATTGAAAAATCCCTCAAATTTTGAAGTGAGCTAACCCAAACAAAATATTTTATAAGTGAATGATTTGAATACCGCATTAAAAAATCAAAATGAAATAAAATACAGTTATAAAAGCAAATAAATTTTGATATAGGTTTACTAGTGAATGTGAAAGGCATCTATGATTTTTTTACTATTTGTTCCCTAAAATTCAGTGTTATGTTAACTATGGCAAGGTCATTTCGGTAGTGCTGGTATTGATTATAAAGACATAAGTATGTTATGTTTAAGATAAATCAAGAAGTGATGTTTAAAATTTATAAGGTCAAGAAAACTAGCTATTTGCAAAACAACATTAGAAAGCTTGATTTCACTAAAATTTACTTGATTTGAACACATTACTAAAATTTTCCTTTTTCTTTTCTGACTCCCTTAAAAAATGGTGAAATGTAGTATTATGGCTTATCTGTAGAGCCCACTGGTCATTATTCATTACAGATGATTGTAATTGTCCACTGACTTTCTTATTTGTTAATAAATGTTTTCTCTCTGTATATTTCATGGGGGGGCCGTGAGTCTTATCAAGGAGAACAGTGTCATTATTTAAGATAGGATTTTCTGATTGTCAGCAGCATAAGTAGGAATGCATTTGCTTCTTTTTCATGAGGATAAAAATGAAATATTTTTATCTTGAAATCCGATTTTCCTCTTATGTGAAATTCTTAAATATTAGGAATTTTCCAATGTGAGTCTTCTCAAATGCAATTTTTGAACAAGTAAATGTAATTTTTGAGTACTCCTTTTGGAGTTTCTCAGGAAAAAAAAAAAGTAACTTGGATTAGAGAAGAGAAAAGATAGGTAAAAGGGATACTAGAACAGGAAAGTCATTTCTGTAATGCAGCCTTAGGAGATATTAAGGGAAATAAGTCAGATAAATTATGATCATTTCCCTCCTGTGTCTGTGAGTGGAAAAAAAATATCACACTCAAAGAGATTGTGGCCAACCCAGAGCACGTAGCTAATCCATGACCTCACATGTTCTACCATGTTGCTTTTAGGGATAGAATTCAGGCTCACAGTCCGAGTGTGGAGACTGGGGAACAGGTCTGATTCGTCCCCCTAGGGTATGTGAAAAAATACAAGGGGAGAAATTATGCAAGCAAAATAACCTTTAACTTTTCTCTGGCAAAAGTTCCTCACTTTCTTAAATATTTCACTTCCAATGTCATGGAGTTTTTCCACCAAGCACTTTATTATTAAATTTGTAAACATAGAGAGATGTTAAAAAAATTGCACAGTGAAACCCATACAGTCACCCCTAGAGTCTACAATTTTGTCTTTTATTTTTGAACTAAAAACGTTGTTTCTTGGAGATAGTAAATACAGAATGAATATTTGCTAACTTGATCCCAGTGTAAGTATCAGATAGTGTTATTTGCAAGAAGATATTAAGGAAAATTATAAGGTAAAACAAAGGAAAAACTAAGAACTAAATAGAGCAATGGAAATATCTAAAGCAATTATGTAAATCGTTACTACAAAAAAAGCATACTTTGTAAAGCCGCCAAACAAAAGCAATTATAAGGTTCGGAAAATTGATTCGCCATTGACCTTTTAGAGTTTGCAAATTGTATCATTGTTCTAGGGTAAAATTCACTGTGTGTGAAATATTTTCAACAGTTTAGATAAGAGATTTATCTCTTAATAGGTTATTAAACTTCCTCTGTGTTTGGATGATCAAACAACCTATGAAAGGCAGACTCAGCTTCCTCCCGAATTTCCAGTTTCTTTAATGGCTGGAGCAGAGACAGCAGAATCAGGCGTGGAGAATACGGTTGGCCTTTCAGAGAAACAAACAGAAGAAAACATTTGTTCATCCCTGGATGGTAAGGCTAAAATCCTCCCTATGCTCTTCTCAGGGTTAGTTCACTGTCTTCAGCATTCTATTACTAATATTTCAAGTTGTGTTATATTGTAGAAAACTGAGAAAGAAATTTTAATTATTAATGTAGTTATTTCTATGCCATGCTGCTTAAAGAGAACGTAATCATTGACAAGAATATTCGTTTCCATACTGCATAATTATTTACTAATTATAATCAACTGTAGAATTACTTCATTGAAACACAGGTCTTTCTCCACGGACTTGTGGCTTAAAGTAAAGCTCTAGAACTTTCTTGCTTGCTCACAAGAGTGGTAACCAACAAAAGGCTATGAAAGAGAACATACTCTCATAAAGCAGTCTTCAACTAATATAGTTTATTTCATAAAGCTGTTTTCAAAGCCTGGCTTAATCAAGCACTGAATAAGCAAATAACATTCTCTGAACTAGTTAATGTACAGCTTACAGAAGGGATATATTAGCGATTACTATTATTTTTTGCGAAAGAGTTATTTCCTTTACCAAAAGATGTACAAGATTCTTTAACAGGTTGTATCTTCTAGCAGTAATAATAGTATCAGGAGCAAGAATATGGGGCTGAACTGGTAGTGCAACTAATATTAGAAGACTTACCAGTAATAATAATTACATGTGATATATGTTTTTCCTGTGCCAGGCACTATAGTAAGGACTTTATTTTTTAGTTCGGAAATTAGCAAATATTTCAAACATATGGTTCAGCAAATAACATATACCAGTAATAGTAACCAGCTGTGTCCATTCTTGCTACTTTGCCATCTTTGCTCTACGCCTTTTCTTTTAAAAAGTAACATTTTAGGGGAATCTGGGTGGCTGTCTGTTGGGCGCCAGACTCTTGATTTTGCCTCAGGTCATGATCTTGGGGTTTGTGAATTTGATGCCCGCATTGGGCTCTGACCTGGTGGCACGGAGCCTGCTTAGGATTCTCTCTCCTCTCTCTGTCCCTCCCCCTGTTGCATGAGCATGCATAAGAGTGCATTCTCTCTCTCTCTCTCTCAAAATAAATAAACATTTTTTTTAAAGTAACATTTTACATGTGATTCAGGTCACCTGTGAACTGCTTGCTACTAATGTTCCAACCCTCTTAGACTTCCTATTGATAGTTTCCGTGTATGTTTCAATACATTTCCTACAGATGTATGTAATTATCAACAATGTATAATGTCTTTTCTATGTTTTTAAAGGTTATGTAAGTAACCATGTTTTATACCTATTTCTGCAACTTTATTTTCTCTCAGCATTATCCTTGAGATTTACACAGCTCACACACACACACTTATATATATTTTGGTTTATTGATACCTTTGCCGTATAATTGCATACATAGCAATGTGCATGATTTTAACAAAATGTGTTTATTTTTATTTTATATGTTGTTTCAAGTCTGGCTCAATTGTAAACAAGATTACAGTGTTTATTCTTGGACATGTTCTCCTTAAGCACATAGGTGCGAATTTCACTAGCATCTATCTACCTAGGAGAGGAATCACTGAATCACAGGGCACACACTTAACTGCCATCAAAATTGTATCAATTTGCCCTTCTTAATTTTTTTTAGTTTTTTTTTCAACGTTTATTTATTTTTGGGACAGAGAGAGACAGAGCATGAACGGGGGAGGGGCAGAGAGAGAGGGAGACACAGAATCGGAAACAGGCTCCAGGCTCTGAGCCATCAGCCCAGAGCCTGACGCGGGGCTCGAACTCACGGACCGCGAGATCGCGACCTGGCTGAAGTCGGACGCTTAACCGACTGCGCCACCCAGGCGCCCCCTTGCCCTTCTAACAGATGTCTAGGATCTTGTTTGGCTCACATCCTATCAATCTTTGTTACAGTCAGTTTTGCCAATTCAGTTGCAATGAAATATCTCTTTGCTTGAATTAGAATATTCCTGAATATGACTAAGTTTGACCATTTTTTCCAAATGTTTCTTTGACCATTTCATTTTTATCTTCTGTGAACTGTCTATACCTATATTTTGTTCGCTTTTCCTCTGGGTCATTTTTTTCTTTTCTTTTTCAAAAAATTGTTTTAACGTTCATTTCTTTTTGAGAGAGAGAGAACATGAGTGGGAGAGGGGCAGAGAGAGAGGGAGATACAGAATCTGAAGCAGGGTCCAGGCTCTGAGCTGTCAGCACAGAGCCTGAAGTGGGGCTTGAACCCACAAGCTGTGAGATTATGACCTGGGCTGAAGTCGGACACTTAACCTACTGAGCCACCCAGGTGCCCCTAAAACTTTTTCTTACTGATCTGTAAGAGTTCTGGACTTTTTTTTTTTTTAATGTGAAATGAGTCATGGGAAGCACTTGATTTCTAATTCAATCTTTGATTGTTACTGATTATTCACTCATTCTATTTAATTCATTTAAAAAAATCAATTGAATTAACTTAGTCATAGTATTATTGTGCATATAATCTATAGTAATACTATGACTATATATGATTATATATAATGTATAATATACGTATTTAATTTAGATTAGATTATATACATATGTACATAATACAATATATGTTATGATATATACGTGTATTAAGTCTATAATATATGTTATACATTATACCCATGATATATGTATATTACATTTGTATTCGTAGTTTATTATCTTTAAAGTTTATTTCCTTTTGTTCCAGTTTTCTTGACTAGGGAATACACTCAGATTGCTCAAAATAAAATCTGCGTCCCACTGGAAACTAGTTCTTCTCCTTGAAGGAAACCAATGTTTTCTGAGTGTTACTCTATAGATATTTTATGTTTCTATAGGAAAATACATAAAAAATACTATTGTAATTTTTCAATACCACTATTACAGTCTTCTTTTCATTATTCATATTGGTTAATATATGCCTTCTTCGCTTTTCTTTATCAGTTTTGGTTGGGTTTTATCTTTTTATTCATTTTTTTTAAACATTTACAACTGCTATCTATCTCCACCAAGACTCCCTCTCCGTTGATCTTTTGTTTTCCATGTATTTATACTTAGCTTTATTATTTCTGTACTCCTATTTTCTTCAGGTTTGGGGGAAGAGTTACTTTTCAGTCCTGATTTGAAAGCTTGAGTTATTTATCTTCAGTTTTATTTATATGGTAGATATGGGTGAAATCACGAATTCTGACCTAGATCTGTGCATTTGTCCTTATAGTGCTATCAATATTGTGTTATATATTTTAGATGTGTTGTTAAATGCATGCAATTTTATGATTATTAGTTTATATGTAATTATTTCTCTCATACAGATGTAGTCTCTCTCTATGTGCCTATTAATGCTTCAATTTTTATTCTATTTCTTCTGCTGTTAATACTACCACCTAATTTTTTTTGATAGATGTTTTATGGCATATGTTGTTTTTCTAATATTTATTTAAAAAAAATAAAATTTGAGATAACTGGGTGGCTCAGTCAGTTAAGCATCTGACTTTGGCTTGGGTCATGATCTTGTGGTTGGTGAGTTCGAGCCCTGCATTGGGATTTGTGCTGACAGCTCAGAGCCTGGAGCCTGCTTCGGATTCTGCGTCTCCCTGTCTCTCTGCCCCTCCCTCACTTGCACTCTCTCTTTCTCTCTCTTCCTCTCAAAAATAAATAAACATTAATAAAAATTAAAAAAAATACAGCCCATCTTTAAAAAAATAAATTAAAATTAAAAATTAAAATTCATCTGTGGTGTTCTTTTGAGTATGGCTTAGCAGCATGAATCTAGATTTTAGTTTTGTATTCAAGACAAGTAGTTAATATGTGTCTTTTAATAGATGAGTTTAATTTTTTGTAATTATTGTTATTGCTGTTACATTTGTACTTGCTGATAACATTTTTTTTTGCAATTTAGTTTTGCCACCTTATTTGTTTGCTTTTAAAAAATACTTTATTTCCTGCATTTCTCTTTCACCAAAAATAATTTTATTTTGTTTATCCTCTGCTGTTTATCATCTATAGATTTTATTAATTATTTCAGATGTCATCCTGAATTTTCTTATCTACATTTTTAACTGAAAGTTGTTTTTTTTTAAGTTTATTCATTTTGAGAGAGAGTGAGTGAGCACGAATGGGGGACGAGCAGAGAAAGAGGGAGAGAGAGAATCTCAAGCAGGCCCTGCACTGCCAGTGGGAAGCCGGACTAGGGGACTGAACTCACAAAGTGTAAGATCATGATTAGAGTCAAAATCAAGAGTTGGATGCTTAACTGACTGAGCCACCCAGGCACCCCTAAAAATTGTTTTACAAAATCTAACTCCATCTGGTTTTTCTCTTCTCTTCCTAAACATGACAAGGACTTTTGGTATATTTTGCCTACCTATTAAACACCTCCATGTACTCTCATATTATTCTTGGCTATGCTTTCAGTTCACTCTTTCATTAAACAGAAAAGTCAGTTATTTTTTTTTTTTTTTTT